TAAACCCATCTGTTTAATTTTAACTTCATGGTGACAAACTGTATACAGGAACATCTCTTAAACTTCAGTTCTCTAGCCTGAATATTTTCCTAACTTTCAAAAAAAATCTGTATATATTAAATTCATTATATTTCTCTAAACCATCCAGGAATTGAAGCACAAATCTGAGCTTCCTTTTTTTTTTGCTATTAGTTCATTAGCTTTGCTAGCAGATAAAGAGTTCTCTCTTAACTGTCCTCCTTTGTAGCTAATTCCAATTTCCCTGATCCAAGACATAATTTCAAGATAATTTGGTAAAACTGTCCAGCTATGTTTATTTTTCTCTCAATGCTTAAGGTCTTTTGGGGTCAAAGTGAGATGTACTTGGAGGTAAATAATGAGTTACTTGTAATTAGTTCTTCTTTTCATTAACAAAGGTGTAACTGAGTTACTTGACAGTTGTAACTAATGGAGAAGCAACTTAATTCTTTTATGCAGTGTAACGAACACTTCGTTTGCCTGTATAGTGATGGGGTGGGGCCCCACTAAGCAATGGAGACAGAATGTCACATGGTCAAAGTAGTCAATCTTGTGATTGCCTTTTGAAAAAAAAAACTGGAAAATAAAGAATTTCTTTTTAAAAATGTAACTCCATTAGCAAAGAACTTTTGGGCAACTCAGAATTGTAAGGTTAAAAGTGCAGTTTAAATTTTTAAGGCAACTATTCTGTTTTGAGAATGTGTGATGCAATGTTTTCCTGATATAAAGCAGTGTCATTTCTGGCCTGCTATTATGTAGGCCAGCTGACTGGATAGCTGAGTGATTTAGGTCTCTCTGGCTGTACAGCCAAAGGTTAGGAGTTTGATTCCCCCACTGGGTCTCCTAGGGGAAAAGCCGGTTTGTGTGGCCCCAGGGCGCCCCCCGAAGGAGGGGATGGGAAACCATGTCCGTGTATTCTCTGCCTAGCAAACCCTGGTAAGGGTTGCCATAAGTCAGATTTGATTTGATGGCATGCAGTTATGATGATCACTCCCTTGATCTCAGTGGAGATTTGTGCTGGGTTAAGGAGGTGGTGGATGTCTTCTTGAGGAAGCGTTTGGTTGGATTTTTTTTAAGTCCAATGCTTGCACAACAGAACAAAGAAAAAAGTTACTAGCCCAAATGAAAAGTGTCTGTGTTGGTTCCTGCGGGGAAATTTGAAAAGTAAAGAGTTACTTTTGAAAAAACTATAACTGTGTCAGTAATTAACTACTTTGGAACTATGGTGTAACTAATTACTTGTATAGAAGAAACTTTCCAAGCTGTGCTTTAAGGTTTTAGTGGGTACTGGTAGTTAAGGGGCTCTGATGTTTTTCCCATGCCCTGCGGTGCCCCTTCTGTCTGCTTCTGCTTAGTGTGAACTCGTTTACTCCTCTCTGACCTTCCTTTTTTTGCTTTCCCAAGGGATTGGCAGTTAGCTTGCCCTTCTCCGGG